TACAGCACAGGAACAGGCCCTGTCAAACATAACGCCAAATGAAACTAATCCCTTCTGCCTGCCCTTGGTCTATATCCTTCCATTCCTCACATATTCATGTGCTTATCTAAAAGCCCTTCAAATGCCCCCAGTCTGGGAATTAGCGCCCATCCTACTTGCCTTTGAACTGTACCATGCTGGGTCTTTTCAGGGGGGAGTTGAAATCCAACCACGTTGCTGTGAGCCTGGAGTGAGATGGAGATCCTAAAGCGTTTTTATAACAATTGATGGTGGTTGCCATGTCAGTAGTTTCATCTTCATTGAATTTACAGTTCAGTAGTGTGGTCAGGTGACCAGTAGAATAAATGGCCAGGTTAAGAGCTACAATCAAACATGCTGGGAATTTTGGTCAAGTCGGTTTAAACTCTGACCCCGGTTAAAACCGCAGCCAGGGCATCTTGGGACTTGTCCTGTAAGCTGTGGCCTGCAATTTCCTGTGTTGACCAAATGAGTGAGGTTTTATGGTGGTCTGCTAGACACACTGGCACCATGTTACCTCAGATGGAGAATGGTATGTGGCTGTTTACAACTTGGCGTAAACATTTGGGAGCTGTTTACCAGTAAACTCCATTGGCTGGGATCAAACAATGTGACCAGGTTTCGATCAAGTCATTGGCTGAGTGCCAGACTCCACATGGGTTGACAAGAAATAATTTCAATGTTTGCAGACCACATGAAACTCCAACAAACGATGAGGGAGAGTAGGAAAGAGTTCAGGAGGACAAAGATAAACCTGTGACATGGACAGACGCACTAGAAATGTATAAACGATGAGGAAAATAGTGCAGGCGCTGAAAATTTGAAATTAAAACTGAAACTGCTAGAGTAACTCAGCAAGTCTGGTAGCAACTTTAGAGAGAGAGAGAGACAGAGTTAATATTTCGAGCCTGAAATGACTTCTTCAGAACAAATGAAGTTTAACGCAGAGATTTACGAGTGCATTTTGGGTGGGAAAAATGAGGATGAATTTTTTTTAATTTATTCATTTGTAGGATGTGGGCATCCCTCGCTGGGCCAGCATTTATTGCCTAATCCTAGTTGCCCTTGAGAATGTGGTGGTGATCTTATATAAAGTGAAATTGCTGGTTAAGAGCACTATTGGCCTGATGAAGGCTCAGGTATTGTCAATGACAATGTTAGGGAAATGGCAGATATGCTGAACAATTATCTTGTTTTAGTATTCTTAGCAGAAAAGGAGGATAGCTTCCTGGAAGTCCCAAAGAAGGATCAGGGACAGGGTCCAAATAAAATTAACTGAAGTGAATGGAATAGAATGAAAAAGCTTTTATTGTCACATATACCGAATGAGTATAGTGAAAAGACTGTATGTCACCAAAGACGTGTCAACTTAGATACAAAAGTACCTAAGCATAGCTTCTTTAGTTACAAGATTTGTTACAGAAATAAAATGTCCTACATTATAGAAAAGAGTTCCGTACTGCAGACCAACACTTGCTACAGATGTGGTCACTCTGAACCACAATGAGGTCCACCAGCTCCCACATTATGCAGTTACAACACATCACCTGGTCTGGCATCTCTGTTTTAATTACTTTGTTCTTAATTTGATTTTTAAAAAATTGTTCTGCTCTTTTAGTTTGTAGCCTGTAAATATTTCACCTATTTACCTTCAATCTGAAAATAACCTAGAATAGACGGTCAAATTAGTAGCTATCACCAACCAGTGAGCTTATGGTTGATCTATACTGTTGCTGTGGGGGATGGCTTAGCACTGCTATCTCACAGCACCAGGGACACAGGTTCAATCCCCAACATTGGATAACTGTGTGGAATTAACATATTTGCCCTGTGCCTGTGCAGGTGTGCTCTGGTTTCCTCCTGTGGTCCAAAGACGTGCAGGTTGGGTGGATTGGCTGTGCTAAAGTGTTCTGTAGTATGGAGGGTAGGTAGATTAGCCATGGGAAAAGCAGGGTTACAGGGATTGGGTGGAATGTCCTTCAGAAGGTTGGTGTGGGCTGAATGGGTCCTCCCACACTGTAGTGATTCTATGATTTTTGCCCTGGGCTTCAATTGATTCTGTTAAAAAAATCTGTACCTCTTCCCCCTCTGCTCCAAATTCCCACGCTGCCTCCAGTTTCCCCGAACTCACTCAGACTGTGCCTCACTCTTGCTGGGATCTCTACTTCTGACTGCGCTCAGCTTACTCTGTGCTGTGAGGCTTTAAGCTCTGGCTGAGGGGGCAAAGTGGAAAAAGGCAAGGCAGAGATACTGTGAGCATCCAGTGTGGGGAAGAGCTGAGAGCCCTGCAGTTCTCCGTTACAGGCTGTCAGCCTGTGGGGCTTGCGTTGTGTTTCAGTGCAGAGAGAGCAAGGCCTGACACAGTCAGAGTACTGCACAAACAGATGGATATGCAGCTGTGTGTCACTGTGCTGTGTCAATGTCACACTATGTTTATGCAGCAAACAGGGAGTGTGCTTCAAGCAAATGATAACGTGTAAAAATCAAAGGACAGCAGGGCTATAGGAGGATTAGAGTCAGTTGTGGGGTTGATGTCACTGTAAATCAAGGGGCATGCCTGATTCCAGTCCCTGGGGCCTGGCTACTTGGATCTACCAGATTCTGGGGATCTGTGTCCTTTCAGTGCAGGGACTGGGTTAGTCCTACAGGTGTTGGGTTTACAATAGGTCAGGCAGGCTGCTGTAGAGACATCTCCTCCCATAAGAAACAGGGAGCGGCTGAGTCTGATGGAAGAGCAGTTAATGGTGTTGCAGGAGGAGATGAGGTGGCCTCAGTGAGTGAGTCGGAAGCACTGAGAGCAGGAAACGTGAGTGGCCTGGGAGGATGAGGTCGGTGAGAGCTGGTGAGGTGACAAGATGCAATGCTGAGTGTTGTAGCCCTGGTGTGGATGTGAGTGCAGGGACAGGTTGTGACTGAGTGGTGGTGCTGTGAGTGTGAGGAAGCAGAGAGAAGATGGTGGCACGTAGCCTTGAGGATTGCATTGACCTCCTTCCTGCTCGGCTGGGCCCAATCCTGGGCTCGCAGCTTCTGAAGGCAGACTGGAAACACGTACCCAGCACACGTGGACACTGGAAAGACCCAGCAGCAATGAGCTTGTCTGTCTCTCCTGCTGCCGCATTCCCAATAAAAGTGACAAAACAGCCCAGCAGCAAAATTAACGTGGTGAAGAGCCTGAGATGATTCACTCTGAGCCAAAGAAGGCTGTGAAAGTTCACTAGGGACTGATTTTGGGACATGGAGACATTGAGGAAAGGTAGGCCCATCTTGCAGAGAGTTTCGAAGAATTGAAGGGAATCTCATGAGGTTTGACAAGGTCAATATGAGGGGTAGAACACCCCCACTGGTGGAGAGGCCCATGGTCTCTGAGCGAAAGGGTCAGATGTGTGAGGCTGAGGGGAAGGGAAATGCCTTCACACAAAGAATTATGAATTTTTGAATTCTCTACCCCCAGAGGGTCATGGATGGTCAGTCATTGAGTCTATTCAGGTCAGCAATGGGTCGATTTTTGAATAAGTTGCAGGTTCGAGAGGCAGAGTAACTCCTGTCCCATTACCTTATGACATGAGGAAATTTTTTTTAATGCAGCAAGACATTTATGATCTTGAGTCGTCCCTCTGAAAGGATGGTGGGAGCCAGTTCAACAATAACTATCAACAGGCAATTGGAATAAACATTAAAATGGAAAGGCCATGGGGAACGAGCAGACTAGTGAGGTTCACTGGATTGGTCTTTGAAAGGGTCAGTACAGGACCATATGGTCCGAATAGCCTCATCCTGTACTATATCAATTCAATGAAGCTATAAATAGCTGTTGGCACAAACCCAAAGTAAAGTTAATCAATAGAAAGTCAATCTTTATGATCTATAAGGAATAATATTTATAGCTGTCATGTGGTCAGTATCCAACCAAAATTTGCAACGCGACATGTCATGGGTACCAAAGGTCCAGGGCAGCATTGCCAAAAAAAACCAAGTGATTCATTCCAAGTGCATAGTTATAAAACCTTTTTTTTTAAATGTAATCAGATTTGAAATATTTTTCTAATAAATATGCCATGTGATTATTATACAAATAAGGAATATTCCCTGATGTACAGCAAAAATGAGGTCCATTTCTCTTTGAGTTCAATGGTAACCAGACTCCTCCTCCTTTCTTTACAATCTCCTTCACACTTCCATGTGATCAGACAAATTTAGTGCAAAACCAGACCATTCAGCCCTTCAGGCCTGCTCCACCATTTAATTACATCATGGCTGTGCTGTTTATGTTTCAAATTCCACCTTCCCATCTACCCCCAAAAAGCTTTGACCCACCTTCAATAATTGCCTAATGACCCTGGATTCCCATGCTGTTTAACAAGAATCTATCCACCTCCACCTTAAAGAAACTAAATGAGCCTGCCTTTGCCACTCTCTAAGAGAGACAGTTGCAAAGTGGCACAACACTCTCCCTCTGTCAAACACTCCACTTCTTCCCCTGTGTCTCCCTCTCGTTCCCTTGCACACTCTCTCCCAGTCCCTCACACTCTCTCTCCCTCTCCCCCATTCCCTCACACTCTCTCTCCCTTTCCCCAAGTCCCTCACACTCTCTCTCCCTCTCCCCCATTCCCTCACACCCTCTCTCCCTCTCCCCGATTCCCTCACACTCTCTCTCCCAGTCCCTCACACTCTCTCTCCCTCTCCCCCATTCCCTCACACTCTCTCTCCCTCTCCCCCATTCCCTCACACTCCCTTTCCCTTTACCCCAGTCCCTCACACCCTCTCTCCCTCACACCCTCTCTCCCTCTCCCCATTCCCTCACACCCTCTCTCCCTCTCCCCATTCCCTCCCACTCCCTCTCCCCCATCCCCTCACCCTCCCTCTCCCTCTCCCCCATTTCTTCACACCCTCTCCCCCATTCCCTCACACCCTCTCCCCCATTCCCTCTCTCCCTCTCCCCCATGCCCTCTCCCTCTCCCCATTCCCTCCCACCCTCTCGCACGTACCCACTCCCACAGTGTCCATCCCTTTGACATGATATTGAACAGAGAGATCTCAGTGAGCGCCTGCCTACACTCAGTGGGCGACTGTGTCAGAAGAACAGATACAGCAGCTCATTCACCTCAAGTAGGTGAGTACCACATGACCCAGTTTATCTCATAACAACATCCACTAACTCTTCAGAAAATCTGGTTCCAAACGATTGTTTGTGTAGGTCCTCGTTCTCAGAATTACAGAAACCCGACACACAGCAGCAGGCTGAGTGTGAGTATCAAAGGCCAACAAGTCCACAGTAATTCAGGGAGGGCTCTGCCCATTAATAGAAGTGCGAATGAACTGCTGGTAACTGAACCAAGAGTCATAATTCTCCAGGACAATTGTTCGTCACAGAGGCCCAGTGTTTTCCAGGGAACATGAAGAGAAATCAAAGCCACAGTTCATCCCATCTCCCTTATTGTTTGGACTCAGAACCAGAAGGTCCAAACCTCCTCTTCATTGTGTAGTAATCTGGAGGCAGAAACAGAGAGGGACAGTTCAAGGTTAATCACGACAGAGCCGGGAAACTAAATGGCTTTGTATGAGGTGAGGTGGTGTTAATGTCCATAGTATAGAGCCGTATGGATGCTGCCATATATATCTCAGTGAGTGGATCTGTACAAAAGCTTCAGAAGTAACTCTATCAGAGCAACCATCTTATACAACATCGTTCCCTCAAGCTCTTTCTCTTTTATTTAACCCATTATACAATTGCTTAAACAAATATATATCATGTCCCTCAATCCCTTCACCATCTCCCCCTTCTACCTCAATCTCTGATGGTATAAATTCACACTGACTGAGGCAAGGAGGTGAGCTTTTGTTTGGTAAAGAATTTTGAACATCAACATCGGGACAGACTTGTTGGGGTGGAGGGCCATCTTTATTTCGTTTCATTGTGATTCTGTATGAACGTTGACAATTATCTCCAGAGGATCCTTGAATTCTTTGAAATGTGTGATGGAAGACGAGTGTTGAGTATATATCCTCGCGTGCCACCCTGTCTTTCAGTTGTGAATTACTCAGGATCTGAAGATTCTCCTTTGGATGGAGGATCAGTGAAGAGTTCCTCCAATCCTGTGAAATCAATAGTGTCCTCTTCATTTGGGAACTTAAGGAGCTGCCGAACACCAGTGTTGCTGATATCAGTTGGTCTGTACTTCAGATTTTGATGAGGGCTGTAAAGCCATCTTCAGGCTGACACACGTCATGTTGGTCAAGAGGCATCTGGCAGAATGGATGTGACCAGCATTGTTTCTGTTGCTGGAGAATTGTTGCTGGTTGTCACATGGTTTCTGAGAGGGACATTCTTGTAATAGCACTGCATGTGGCTTTCATTGTCTAGTTTATTTTTACTCTATGTCTTAGACAGTGGCTCCAAGCATCAAAAATTTCAAACTCTCTTAGCGTTGGATTCTCATGTGACTACTGGCATGTTTGTACCTTACGAAGTCGATAGATTCTGACAGTCTTCTGGAGAAAATTTGTCTTTTGTTCCCCAGATGCTCCTGAACCTCAGCTTCCAACACAATCTGGATGGGCTTTTGCAGCATAAAATCATCCTTCAGTTGTGAAAGAGCTAAAATAGATGAATCAAAAATTCCAACCACAATTCTGTCTCTAATTAGTTCTGGTTGTAATGCTCCATATTCACAAAAATCTCCTGACAACTGTATTCTTTTATTGAATCTTGGTATTGCCATAATGATTCGACTATTATGTAAAACAGTTAGAATGATAGAATGTGCAAACAGGCCATTCAGCCCAAACTAGCATTCTACCCAGGCCCATCCTTGCATTTCCCCATGGCTAAACCACACAGCCTGCACATCATGGGACAATTTAGTATGGCCAGTCCACCAAGCCTGCACATCTTTTGACTGTGGGAGGAAACCCACACAGACACAGGGAGAACATGCAAACTCCACATACACGGTCACCTGAGGCTAGAATTGAACCCAGGTCCTTGGGGCTGTCAGTCAGCAGTGCTAACCACTGCGCCACCATGTCATCAAATGCATTTAAAACATCAAGGTTATCAGTATCCTCTTTAATGGTTTCTATGTGACTGGTCTGCTAAAAGGTCCCACAGAATAAAGCAGTGCATTAACTCGTCCTGCTTGTGATTTGGTGCATTAACCTGGAGCAATTCTGTATCTTCTGAATTATTTTCTCTGCACTCACCATTTTAATTCTACGTCTGCAGTATCTGTAGCCTTATAGAGTCATACAGCACGGAAACAGACCCTTTGGTCCAACCAGTCCATGCCGACCATAATTCCAAACTAAACAAGTCCCACCTGCCTGCTCCTGTCCCGTATCTGTCCCATTCATGTACTTATCTGAGTGTCTTTTAAACACTGTAATCTTATTCTGTAATCTGTAGCCAATTGCATGGAGGTGTAATAACTTCCTCAGTTTTTGTTTCTTCTAAATTGCTTGCTTTAAATTCAGAAATTTTCTTGTAAATTTGTTTCAATTCTGCAATATTTTCAGCTTTTCTTTAAGTTTGAGTTGCAGCTTCAACTCAATTACTCCATTAAATTTGTCAGAGAGTTTCCAGCTTTAAGTTTTTTTTAAAGTTTTAATTATTGTAAAGAAAGATAAATCTTCTCACATGCTGATAAGTTGTAAAGACACGTTACTTCAATAAGTCTTAAAGCGTTTGTCTTCAATTCTTCTGTGGAAAATTATTTGTCTTTTAAATTGTTCATTTTTTAAATATGAATTGTAAATTGTAAATTTTTAATAAAATTTTAACAATTATTTTCAATTATTTGAAAAGCGCTTTTTTAACCACAGAGGGCTGTCAAGACTGGGTCATTAAGTATGTTCAGAGCTGAGATAGACAGGTTTTTAATCAGGAAGGGAGTCAAGGATTGTGGGGAAAAGGCAGGAAAGTGGAGTTGAGGATTATCAGATCAGCCATGGTCTCATTGAATAGTGGAGCAGATTCAATGGCCTGAATGGCCTCGCGCTGCTCCTATGTCTCATGGTTTTTAAGCAGTCATTTCATCATTTTAACATTTTGATATAAATAAGTAAAAGGGAATGTTGGTGCCATTCTTCTTGGTGTTTCTTGCCCACCTCAACACGATGGATGTTCCACATCATTTCTGTTTTACCTTTAAATACTTCGATTGTACGACTAAATACTTATTTCAACTTCAAAGTGATCTATGAGAAAATCTTCTACCTTTGACTTGTACATTTTGATATGCAGATTATGCTTCTGCTTTGAAGAATTTCCTCACGAATGACTTTTTAATAATTATGATTTTTAGCTTTCAACAATGATTTTCATGAAGAAAATATAATATTCATTTTAATAACGATAACAACTTAAGCCTTCTTCCAGCTTCCCAGCCAGGAATTTTATGAGGCCACGTCTGGAGTACTGTGTACGGATCTGGTCACCCTACTATAGAAACAATATTATTAAAGTAGAAAGATGCAGAAAAGATTTACTAGGATGCTACCTGGAATGGAAGGTTTGAGTTATAGGTAGAAGTTGGTTAGGCTGGGACATTTTTCCCTAAAGCGTAGGAGACTGAGGGTTGATCTTATAGAGGTTTATAAAAACATGAGAGGCATAAATAAGTAAATAACCAACAGTTTTTCCCCATGGTAGAGGAGTCTAAAATTAGAGGGCACAGGTTTAAGATGAGAGGAGAGAGATACAAAAGAGTCCAGAGGGGCAGGTTTTTTCACACAGAGGGTGATGGGTGTCTGCAATGGACTGCCGGAGGTAATGGTGGAGGCGAGTACAATCTTGTCATTTAAGAAACATTTAGACAGGTACATGGATGGAATAGATATGGAGGGATATGGACGAAACACAGGCAGATGGGATTAGTTTCATTGTGAAAACTGGGTGGCAGGGACAAGTTGGGCCGAATGGCTTGATTCCATACTGTGGACCTCTATGACTCTATGAAGTTAACATAAGTTAAGTATTTTCACCTTTCCACCCAGGAAGTCAACTTACTTCCAGAGCCCAGTGTCATCTTCCTCTTTCCCAGTTTGCAGCCCAGTTTATCTACTTGTAGCTTCAGTGAGATTCCTTCTAGTCCTCACTAGCTTTCCTGACGTTTTTATTGCCCTGGTTCTGCTTGTTTCACTTTGTCAGGGAAAGGCTGTTTGTTGCTCCAGTCCATCCCACACAGACTGACTGAGTGTTACCTTCGCTGACACACAAGCTCCCTTTAAAATGGTGCTGGATTCCAAGAAGGGGCACTTCCATTTTTTTTTAGAAGTTGCTTTTGCTTTTATTCTCCGTCTCTTTCAGCTGACAGAGGATTCCTGCTTTGCTGCTGATCTTGTCAATCTTACATGACATTGTCAGTATGTTGCCAGAGGTGGCTGCAGCACACAGCTGCCTCTGCTACACTCTCCTTTGGGTAACTATGCTACAACCAGTAGCACTTCTGCTTGTATCAGCGCACTGAGCTATTAGTGTTAAATGATGAAGGATTGACCACAGTTTAGTCTTCAGCACATAGTTGAGTAACAAGAAGTAGCTTATTACATGCTAACCATTTGATCCCTTTTGTCCTAAGAACTATATCTAACTCCTTCTTGGAAACATTCAATGATATGGCTTCAACCACTCTCTGTGGTAGAGAATCCCACAGGCACCCCACTCTCTGGGTGAAGACATTTCTCCTCATTCCATTCCTAAATGCCCCAACCTGTATCCTTACTTAAACGGTGACAGCCTGGTTCTGGATTCCCCGGTCATCAGGAATGTCCTTCCTGAGTTTACCCAGTCAGAGTTTTATAGGTTTCTATGAGATCCCCCAGTCATTCGTCAAAAACACCAGTGAATACAGCCCCAACTAATCCAGTCTCTCTTCATACATCTGTCTAACTCCAGTAATTAGTCTAGAGCTGACCAGCTTTGCCCAGGGATTGTTCTGTATATTATTGCTCACCCTGTTCGGGGATGTTCTCACACACCTCTGCTGCAGGTAGGACTTGAACCCTCGCCTCCTAGCTCAGAGGTAAGGACATTACCACTCCACCACAAGAGCCCCAGGGACTGTTAACATCATTCTCAGATACAAAAGCTTCAGCGTTAACCCTCTCAGGTCAACTCCCTTGTCCAACACATACCTGTGATGACAGTTTGCTTCCTCTTGCGGTTCTGAGGTTTCTGCAGTTGGTGAGATTTCTGTGGCAGTGACATCTTCCCCTCCTCAGCCTCACCTTGCGGTCCCCTTTGTGGGCCGCCACACACAGAGGTTCGATAGAAATGCGGGACATTGTGACTTGACACAGCCTCCCACTGGACATCCCCCAAAACTGGCCGCTCCTGCTGAAAGTCAAACGCCCAGCGCCTCTTGGCTGCCTCCAGCTCCATCCGCAGCTCCTCCTGCAGCTCAGCTCTGACCTGTGTGTGATCGACCGGCCCAAAGAGGCTCCGGCAAACCTTCCCAGGTTTCCTCCCCGTCACTCGCCACATGTCAATGGACGGAGATGTCCCATCATCCTGAAAAATCACAAGGTCAGTACATTCATACACACCACACACAGGCTGCAGCACCACTGTGTACACAGGCAGGGGGTGAGACCAGGCACAATGACACAAGTTGCTGGAAAAGCTCAGCAGGTCTGGCAGCATCTGTGAAGAGAATAATCAGAGTTAATGTTTCGGGTCCGGTGACCCTTCCTCAGAACTGATGGTAGCTGGGAAAACGTCGGTACATATGTGCAGAAAATAGGAAGGGGGATAGGGTAGGGAGTAAACAATAGGATAGAGCCTTAAGAGAGGGAAGAGCAGTTGGATAGACTAGGGAGTTGATAATGATCAGGCTGGGAGGGTGAATAGCTGTTAATGGACATTGTTAGTGACTAACAACAGGGGGTGTGTAATGGCAGGCTATGTGATAACAAGGCCTGGTGTGTGGGGTAGGGGGCTGGGACATGGAACAGTGTAGGCCCTAAAATTATTGAACTTGATATTGAGTCCGTAGGGCTGCAGGGTCCCGTCTCTGTCGCATATGTTCAGATGAGGCCAACATCTACAAGGGAGCCTCTGAAAGGTCCACCTTCTTTTTCAACCGAGGATTCTCCAGCACTGTTGTTGACAGGGCCCTCAACCGGATCCAACCCATCTCCTGCATTTCCGCCCTCAGCCCTTCCCTTCCCTCCTGCAACAGCAATGGGTTCGCCTTATCTTTACCTACCATCCCACCAGCATCCACATCCAGAAGATCATCAGACGCCAATTCCGCCACCTCCAGCAAGATGCCACCACCAGACACATATTCCCCTCCCCTCCCTTGTCTGCCTTCTGCAGGGACCGTTCCCTCCGGGACACCCTGGTCCACACTTCCTTCACCCCCAGTCCCTCCCCACAGCCCTACGGCACCTTCCCCTGTAACCGACGAAGGTGCAACACCTGCCCATTTACCTCCTCCCTCCCCAGTATCCAAGGGCCCAAACATACCTTCCAGGTGAAAAAACACTTCACCTGCACTTCCCAGAATCTAGTCTACTGCATTCGCTGCTCAAAATGTGGTCTCCTCTACATTGGGGAAACGAAGTGTAGACTTGGCGACCGCTTCGCAGAACATCTACATTCGGCTCGCAAAAAAGACCCTGAACTACCTGTTGCCTGCCACTTCAATGCAACACCCTGTTCCCTGGCCAACATCTCTGTCTCTGGCTTGCTACAGTGTTTCAGTGAAGCCCAACGCAAGCTGGAGGAACAACACCTCATTTTCCTCTTGGGGACCCTACAGCCCTCCGGACTCAATATTGAGTTCAACAATTTTAGGGCCTAAACTCTCCCATGTCCCAGCCCCCCACCCCACACACCAGGCCTTGTTATCACATAGCCTCCCACTACACACCCCCTGTTGTTAGTCACTAACATTCCCCATTAACAGCTATTCACCCTCCCAACCAGATTGTTATCGACTCCTCTGTCTATCCAACTGCTCTTCTCTCTCTTCGGGCTCTATCCTATTGTTTACTCCCTACCTCATCCCCCTCCCTATTTTCTGCATATAAACCAATATTTTCCCAGCCACCATCAGTTCCGAGGAAGGGTCGCCGGACATGAAACGTTAACTCTGATTTTTTTTCTTCACAGAGGCTGCCAGACCTGCTGAGCTTTTCCAGCAACTTCTGTTTTCGTTCCTGATTTACAGCATCCGCAGTTCTTTCAGTTTTTATTTAGTGAGACGGGGTACTCTGTCAGGGAGTGAGATTGAACACACGGCCAAGGATTGGCGAGACCCAGGAACACCAAGGTTCTATAAGTGGTGTACTGGAGTGTGGGCAGTGTCAATACAAATGCTGACAGCATGGTTTAGTCTGATGGTATTAATACTCAGAAGGAAATTGATATTTGCAACAAGAATTTCAGGGGAACATCAGAAATGACAAAAGAACTGGAACTGGAGCCAAGCTTCAGCAGTTGTCTGTAGCAATAAATTCAGGGTTTCACTTTCAACCAGACAACAGTCCATCAGTTAAGAAAAAGTTACAAAATGAAAATGAAACTGAGAGAAGGATTCAGAAACAGGGAAAATCCAAGACAGACAGATGGAAAGTGACAGGCAATAAAGAGAAAATGAAAGAAGAGAGGGAAAGAAAGGTGAAAGAGAAAAAGTCAAAAGATGCTGATTTAGAGAGATCTGAAGATACACGCACACACGCCCTCTCTCTCTCACACACACACACACACACACACACACACTTCTCCCCCTCACACACAATCACACACACTCACTCTCCCACACGCACGCACACACACACTCACGCTC